GTTGAGTTTCTCCCCATTTAGTTTGATGTTGGCTGTCGGTTTACTGTATATTGTTTTTATTATGTTCAGGTATGTTCCTGTTATCCCTGATCTCTCCATGATCTTTATCATGAAGGGGTATTGGATTTTGTCAAAACCTTTTTCAGCATCTAGTGAGATGATCATGTGGTTTTTTCTTCTTCGGTTGGTTTATATGGTGTATACCATTGACAGATTTTTGAATGTTGAATGAACCCTGCATCCCAGGGATGAAGCCTACTCGATCATGGTGGATCATTTTTCTGTCTACTTGATCATGGTGGGTGATTTCTCTGATGTGTTCTTGGATTCAATTCGCCAGTATTTCACTGAGTATTTTTTACATCAATGTTCATGAGGGATATTAGTCTGTAGTTCTCTTAGTTTTGTCTTTGTGTGGCTTGGGTACCAAGGTAATTGTAGCCTTGTATAAAGAGTTTGGCAATGAACCTTCTGCTTCTATTGTGTGGAACAATTTGTGGAGTATTGGTATTACTCTTCTTTGAATTTCTGGTAGAATTCTGCACTGAAACAATCTGGCCCTGGTTTTGTTTGTTTGTTTGTTTGTTTGTTTGTTTTGGTTTGGAGACTTTTGATGACTGCTTCTATTTCATTAGGGGTTATAGGTCTGCTTAAATTACTTGTCTGTTCTTGATTTAATTTTGGTAAGTCATATCTATCCAGAAAATTGTCCATTTCCTTTAAATTTTTGAATTTTTGTAGAGCACAGGTTTTCAAAGTATGACCTGAAGATTCTCTGAATTTCTTCAATGTCTGTTGTTATGTCCTCCTTTTCATTTCTGATTTTGTTAATTTGCAGGTTCTCTCTCTGCCTTTTGGTTAGTTTGAATAAAAGTTTGTCTATCTTGTTGATTTTCTCAAAGAACCAACTCTTTGCTACATTGATTCTTTGTATTGTTTTCTTTGTTTCTACTTTATTGATCTCAGCCCTCAATTTGATTATTTCCTTGTGTCTGCTCCTCTGGGGTGAGTTTGCTTCTTTTTTGTTCTAGAGCTTTTAGTTGTGCTGTTAATTCTCTAGTGTGACTATTCTCCAGTTTCTTCATGTGGGCACTTAGCGTTATGAACTTTCCTCTTAGCACTGGGTATGTTGTGTCTTCATTCTCATTGAATACTAGGAAGTCTTTAATTTCTCTTTTTATTTCTTCCTCAACCCAGCAATGGTGCAATTACGCATTGTTCAATTTCTATCAGTTTGTAGGGTTTCTGTAATTTATGTTGTTGTTGAATTCTGACTTTAAAACATGGTGGTCTGATAAAATACAGGAGGTTTATTCCATTTTTTTTTTTGCATCTGTTGAGGTTTGCTATATTGCCGAGTATGATTTTAGAGAAGGTTCCATGTGGTACTGAGAAGGTGTATTCTTTTGTGTTTGTATGGAATGTTTTATAGATGTCTGTTAAACCCAACTGGGTCATAACTTATGTTAGTTCTTTTGTTTCTTTGTTAAGTTTCTGTCTGGTGTTCCTGTCTAGTGATGAGACTGGGGTGTTGAAGTCTCCCGCTATGTGTGATTTTGTTTTTATGTGTTTTATGTGTGATTTGAGTTTTAGTAATGTTTCTTTTACAAACATGGGTGCCTTTGTATTTGGGGTATAGATGTTCAGAACTGAGACTTCATCCTGATGAATTTTTCCTGTGATGAATATGAAATGACCTTTTCATCTCCTTTGATTGATTTCAGTTTGAAGTCTAATTTGTTAGATATTAGGATAGCTACACCAGCTTATGTCTTGGGTCCATTTGATTGGAAAATGTTATCCCAACCCATTACTCTGAGGTTATGTCTGTCTTTGAAGTTGAGGTGTGTTTCTTGTATGCAGCAGAAGGATGGATTCTGTCTTCGTATCCATTCTGTTAGCCTGTGTCTTTTTATAGGTGAGTTAAGACCATTAATATTGAGGGAAATTAAGGACCATTGAGTGTTAATTCTTCTTTGTTTTGAATTTGTTGTTGTTGGTGGTATTGTGTATAGATTTATCCCGATTTTTCTTTTGGCTTTTGGTAAAGTGGGATTATCTATTTCCTTTGTTTTGTAAGTGTAGTTAACTTTTTTAGGTTGGAGTTTGCCTTTCAATATTTTCTGTAGGATTAGTGGGTATGCATTGTTTAAATCTGATTTTATCATGGATTATCTTGTTTTCTCCATCTATAGTGATTGAAAGCTTTGCTGGATATAGTGTCTTGGCTAGCATCTGCGGTCTCTTAGTGTTTGTAGAATATTTATCCAGGACCTTCTGGATTTCCTAGTTTCCATGGAAAAGTCAGGTGTAATTCTGATAGGTTTGCCTTTATATGTTACTTGGCCTTTTTCCTTTGCTGCCCTTGATATTCTTTCTTTATTGTGCATGTTTGATGTTTTGATTATTATGTGGTGAGGGGACTTCTTTTGTGGTCCATTCTATTTGGTGTCTGTAA